TCCGATCCTCATCCTATCCGTAACCCATTATTGTCCTATTCTTATCCTATCCTTATCCTACGTCTTATTCTATCCGGTCCTCATCCTATCCTTAACCCATTCCTGTCCTATCCTCATCCTATCCTCATCCTATCCTATCCCTATTCATTACCGCTCAGCTCAGAGAGCACCAAGGACCTCACAGTTCAACCCTGAGCTAGAAAGACTCCCCTTGACTGGACGGGGAGTCCCTGACCTCAGCCTGGCCCAGTTCGCACAAGCCTTTCTCCTCCCAGGGAGTCCCCAGATCCGACACTCCAACCCAGTGAGGTTCCTGCCAGCGGAGCCCATCCCCCAACCGGATCACCCTCCCTCCCCCCCCCCAGCTCTCCTCGGTCTCAGGGCCCCCACTGCTGAAGGCCACGGCTTTCCACGGAGCCTTCGGTGCTTCGTTTCCTTGGCTCAAAATATAAATGGGGCACAGGCTCAGCCCCTCCTGGGAGCGACTGTGGGGATCCCACATCAACTGTAGATCACATTGTGGCTGGTTGTAGGCTGAAGGAATCTACCAGTCCAGGATCTGATGTATTTTTTTTCATATAAACGATACTGCACTTCGATGGACATTGATACCTGAATACAGATCTTTACAGCACTCACGTTTTATTGTGATTTTTTTAAAAATCTAAGTGAAATCTCTCTCTATAAAAGCGAAATACCCTTCATGCATCATCACAAAATCTCCAGACCCCGTAAGGCCTACAAACTTGAAATGTGGCCCGTAGGTTCCTCTTGGCTTCTAGGCGCTCACTAAGAAAGGATTTTTACAAATGACCCTCTGAGCATTTAGAGTATATCCTGTATTATTATTATTATTATTATTATTATTATTATTATTATTATTATATTATTATTTCCCCTTCCCCACCTGAAAAGAAATCTCTTCCAAATGCAAAACACAAGCAGAGGAGCTGCAGTTTCACAGCACCAAGCAGCTTAAGTCCAGAACAATTGAGCTAAGCCACGCCCAGGCTCCTTGCTGTCTCCTTCTTGCTCACACAGCAAATACTGTTTCAGTTTCCAAACAGCCCTCCACTCTCTCATACACTGACAAGGATGCTAGCCGGATGGATACCGATGGATGCTGGGAGGCAGAGGCAGAATTCCCCCCCCCCCTTATTTTCCTCCCCCCAAACTAAGCCTGACCACGCAGTTACATAGGAAAGGTATTGAGCTAGCAGTGTCAGTATATACTGCAAGTCCCTGGATGTCACGGCATAATAGGTGAACTAAAATCAATCAGTCCTGGGTTCCCAGCTGTGCCTCCTACCGTTTCCCGGGTGGGGATCCGCGTGGATGAATCCGGTGAAGAAGATCTGCTCGGCAAACATCTTGATCAGTTTCTCTGCTGGCTGGAGGGAGAAAAGGGTCTCAGGAAGGGGAGAAGGCAGGAGGAGCCTCCTCCTCCCTTGGCCAGCTGGGGGCTTCCCAGGGGCTCCCGGAGCCCGGGGGTTTCCTGGCAGGCGTTTCAGGACCCAACTAGGGGACATCGTCAGTCCTAGAAGAGGGTGGGAGTGTGGAGAGGAGGAAGAGGAAGAGAAGGAAGAGGAGGAGGAGGAAGAGGAGGACGAGGAAGAGAAGGAGGAAGGAGGAGGAAGAGGAAGAGAAGGAGGAAGAGGAGGAAGTTGAGAAGGAGGAAGAGGAAGGAGGAGGAAGAAGAGGACGACGAGGAAGAGAAGGAGGAAGAAGGAGAAAGAGGAGGAAGGGGAGGAGGAAGAGGAAGAGGAAGTTGAGAAGGAGGAAGAAGAGGAAGAGAAGGAGGAAGAGGAGGAAGACAAGGAGGAAGAAGAGGAAGAAAAGGAGGAAGAGGAGGAGGAAGAGAAAGAAGAGGACGAGGAAGAGAAGGAGGAAGGAGGAGGAAGAGGAAGAGAAGAAGAGGAAGAGGAGGAGGAAGAAGAGGAAGAGGAGAAGGAAGAGGAGGAAGAAGGAGGAAGAGGAGGAGGAAGAGGAGGAAGGAGAAGGAGGAAGAGGAGGAAGAAGAAGAGAAGGAGGAAGAGAAGGAGGAAGAGGAAGAAGAGGAGGACGAGGAAGAGAAGGAGGAAGAAGGAGGAAGAGGAAGAGAAGGAGGAAGAGGAAGAGAAGGAGGAAGAGGAGGAGGAAGAGGAGGAGGAAGAGGAGGAGGAGGAAGAGGAAGAGGAGGAAGAGGAGGAGGAAGGAGAGGAGGCCTGCGGGGTCCCCGGTGCTCTCTGAGCTTGGTGGTCTCCTTGCAGGCGTTTCACGACCCAACTAGGCCACCTCATCAGGGTCAGGCAGGAGAGAAGTGCCACAAGCAGGACCCATCCGAGCCGATGACCCCCCGACCTACCCAACCAGCCTCCCCGGGGCAGTCAGGACACATGACGCTCCCCCCACCCCGCGCGGGTTCCCCTGGCGACTCACGTCCTTGGGGCTCAGGCCTTGCCTCCGCAGCCCCTCCAGGTCGTTGATCTTGCAGGCCTCGTAGAAGTCGGCGGTCAGGACCCGCTAAGCCCAGGGAGGGAAGGAGAGGAGGTGAGGCAAAAAAGGACCAGCGCACACCAGAGTTTCCGTTACTGCAACCGGTCACCACCTCGGCCCCAGAGCCCCAAACGGCAAAGCAAACCTCACAGCCGTATGGAACGCAAGCAGTCCTCTCCTTAATGGCCGCTTGCTTAGCGTCCGGGATGAGCCGGCACGGAGCTCCCACAGGCACCGCCCCTTCGTCGCTCCAAATTTCACCAAACGCGTTTCCCACATTTCTGGCAAAGTCCCAGAGCAAAGCGCACCCTCCTCCAAGCAGCCTCTTGAGCCCCAAGGCTGCCGGGCGGTAAATCCAGCAGGGCCAATCGAGGAGTTCCGGAAGGAAAGGATCCAGTCCAGAAAGCGGGCAAGTGTCAAGTCATCAAAATGGCCCTATGGTCTTTTTAGAGTTGCCAGCAGGAAGGGGGGGGGGGGGGAGGAGGGGGGGAGCAGGGGGGCCGTTTGGAAACCCAAAGTGCATCCCGTAAATGTTTTCAAAGATAGTAAGTAACTAGGTGATCGACGTTCCTGCCGCCGTTGGAGAGCGTGATGGATGACTCTGGGCTGTGGAGGTGTCTCGTTGGAGAATATGATTTAGGACACACCCAGGAGGTAGGGGAGGAAAACCAGGGTCAAGGGTGACAATGAATGATGGGCCTCAGAGTCGGCTGGATGTCCAGGCTCTGGTAGTTCCCCCCCCATTGAAATCGTGAGCCTCCAGCTGGATTTTCAAAGCTTAAAGAAGATTTATTAGGAGTAAACATGCCAGCACTGCCTGGGTGTAGCCGACTCCGAGACCCATCATTCATTGTCACCCTTGACCCTGGTTTTCCCTCCCCCCCCCCGGGTGTATCGTAACTTATATTCTCCAATGGGACACCTCCCTAGCCCAGAGTCATCCATCGGGCTCTCCAGTTTTGCGCGGCGGAAACTTCAGTCACCCAGTGACTATCTTTGAAAACATTGATGGAATGCACTGTCGGTTTCCAAGCTGCTGTATTGCTCCCCCCAAGCTAAACCTGGAAGAGTTTCCCCGAAGGAATTTTGGCGAGGAGTCGGCTTCGTGCTTTTGGGAAGCCTCGGTCGGAAGAGGGTCAGAGCCCTACCCACCTTGCTGCTTTTGTCCCAGTGCACGCGAGGCACCACCACGAATCGAAAGTGCTTCAGCTCCTGGGCGCAACGCTCCCCGTTGTGGCCTTCGATCTCAAAGTCCAGTTCCTGGGCTAGGGTCCCCTTCAGGTCCTGGAAGGAGGAAAACGCGGGGAGTGGCAGGTCAGCCTGGCACCAGGCGAGGAGGACTTAGGGTGCCAAGCATGCTGGGTAAACGCCCACCCCTCCCCCAGAGACCCCCCCTAAGCAAGGCACAGAGGCAGCACCTCAAGTTTCCGGCGCATTTTGCAAACCACCAAGAATCCTGGGCTTGTAGGGCAGACTTCCGGCAGCCCAATGGGCTTGGGGTTTGGAGGGCAGCGAGGAGAGGGGCTACTCTGCCAAGGGGTTGGGCTAGAGGACCTCCAAAGTCCCTTCCAGCTTTAGGAGCCTAGGATTCCTTTGGCAAAGGGGCATGCCGGTCTGCAGCGCGCGAGCAACTCCGGGAGAAATGTGGTGTGCGCACTCAGGGCGGCAGGATGAATCAGGGTGTGATTATGTAAGGAGGACGTGTTAAGGATGACACCTGCGAAATTGAGGAACCTAAGCAACGCCATAGATTTATCCGGTTTCGGACCTATGCAACGATAACTGGAATAATACTGGACTACGATAGAACTATCAAAATAGGTTTGTTACGTTCTTTAGAAATGTCAACTTTGGGGCTAGAACGTGGAAATGTAATATTTTTGGCAATAATTATACATGAGAAGATTTGGGGGCATCCTGACCTAAACAGAACTGATAATTGATCTCTTGCAGGGCTGTCCAACCTTGGCAACTTGAAGCCTGGCGGACTTCAACTCCCAGAATTCCCCAGCCAGCTGGCTGGGGAATTCTGGGAGTT